TGTATATATATATATATATATATATATATATATATATATATATATATATATATATATATATATATATATATATATATATATATATATATATATATATATATATATATATATATATATATATATATATATATATATATATATATATATATATATATATATATATATATATATATATATATATATATATATATATATATATATATATATATATATATATATATATATATATATATATATATATATATATATATATATATATATATATATATATATATATATATATATATATATATATATATATATATATATATATATATATATATATATATATATATATATATATATATATATATATATATATATATATATATATATATATATATATATATATATATATATATATATATATATATATATATATATATATATATATATATATATATATATATATATATATATATATATATATATATATATATATATATATATATATATATATATATATATATATATATATATATATATATATATATATATATATATATATATATATATGTATATATATATATATATATATATATATATATATATATATATATATATATATACACACACACACTATATAACAATATTTTATAACAATATATAATTATATACTGTACAGTTGAAGTCAGAATTATTAGCCCGCTTTTGATATATATTTTTTTTATTTCCTAAATGATGTTTAACAGGGAAAGGAAGTTTTCACAGTGTGTCTGATAATATTTTTCTTCTGGAGAAAGTCTTATTTGTTTTATTTCGGCTAGAAAAAAAACAGTTATTAATTTTTTAAACACCATTTTAAGTTCAATATTATTAGCCCCTTCAAGCTATATATTTTTTCGACTGTCTACAGAACAAACCATCATTATACAATAACTTGCCTAATTACCCTAACCTGCCTAGCTAACCTAATTAACCAAGTTAAGCCTTTAAATGTCACCTTAAGCTGTATAGAAGTGTCCTGAAGAATATCTAGTCTAATATTATTTACTGTCATCATGACAAAGATAAAATAAATCAGCTATTAGAAACAAGTTATTAAAACTATTATGATTAGAAATGTGCTGAAGAAATCTGCTCTCCGTTAAACAGAAATTGGGGAGAGAGTGAACAGGGGGCTAATAATTCTGACTTCAACTGTATATGTGAATGTGTGTGAGTGTGAGCAAAAAAAACAAACATTTAAACTGTTCTCGTTTCATTAGTCAGAGGTTTTTACCTTCCATGGCGTATCTCATATCCTGAGCAAACATGTTCCACATCACCTCCGCACTGATCTTCCCCACATTCAGCTCCTGAGGAAACCTGCAAACACACACAATGTGCATATATTCATATATTGTAACATATACACTTGTAATCATGTTTATCTATCTGCACTCTACTGATTATTAATAGCAACCTGCACATATATTCATATCCAACCTGTATATAATGTTGATAGTACATCCATCTGTAAATATCACCATAGTTTTCTATAACTGCACTTTATAACTTATTCCTGTATCCTGCACTTGCTGCTATTGCACTGCTGGTTAGACCTAAACTGCATTTCGTTGCATTGTACTTGTACATGTGTAATGACAATAAAGTTGAATCTAATCTAATCTAATCTAATCTAATCAATGTCTCATTTTATATCACTAATATCATCAGCTTTCATTCTTCTACATCACTTTAAGCAGCTGATTTACTGTACCACAAAGAATTACAAATGCGAAAATAACAAAGATGACTGCCTGTTGTTGCCAGCCTCTAGTGGCCAGTCCTTGAACTGCAGTTTCTGTCACTTCCATGTAGTTCAAACTAATAAGCTTGGCTTTTCTGAATTTGACTTTAATGCAATACAATGTGCACTTTTGCTTTGGAACAGCAATTATTGTGAAAAGTGCTATGCAAATAAACCTGAGCTCCATAGTTACTTACTTACGCCCAGGGCTATTTATATCGAAGTTAATATTTAGCCACACCATATTGGTGTTTTGAAACATCTAGTTTTTATGAGGTAAGTTGTTAGCCCAACGCACAACTCCCAGCCTGGAGTACCAGGACATACTGTACACACATACACTACAGCCAATTTAGTTCATCAATTCCCTATAGCGCTCTATAGTGCATGTGTTTGGACTGTGGGGGAAACCGGAGCACCCTGAGGAAACCCACGCCAACACGGGCAGAACATGCAAACTCCAAACAGAAACGCCAACTGACCCAGCCGGGGCTCGAACCAGCGACCTTCTTGCTGTGAGGTGACAGTGCTAACCACTAAGCCACAGTGCTACCCTAAGATATTTTTAATAAGTAATTTTTTGCATTGCTGAAGTTTTGCGTTTTCCTTGAAGTCCTTGAGGGTTGGCTTCATCTCTTTAAGACCTCGTAGGGTTGGCAGGGCTCAACAATAAGGCCTGGGGCCGGCGTGAGAGATGCTTGGGACAGTAGACAGAATCGTTACTAGCCCGATCAGGGCCCTATCATACACCCGGCGCAATGTGGCGCAAGGCGTTACGCAGTTGTTGTTTGCTAGTTTCAGCTCGGCGCAAGAGTCGTTTTGCAGTACGCTGTTTAAATAGTAAATGCATTCAAGCTCATATGTGCGCCCATAGGCGTTCTGGTCTAAAAAGAGAGGTGTGTTGAGGCGCATTGCTGGCACGTTGCTATTTTGAGAAACTATAATAGATTTTTCAATAGACCAGAACAAAGCCGGTCTATTGTCCAGCGCAGAGCGCGTTAGTCATGTGCCTCGCTTACACACTGCTTAACACACATATGATGTGCAGCAATACGCAAACATCTTTACATATGAAAAAAAAATTAAATATTAGGGATATATATAGGATATTGTCGTGTCTGCTGTGGTGCCATCTTGTGGTTTTCTGGACACTAGTTATGTTTTGGTTTGTTCCTGCTTTGTAGTTCACGTGATCACTAATTGTTTCCAGCTGTCTGTCATTGTCCAATTATTGTTGTTGTCTTTATAAGCTTTGTTATGTTGTGTTTAGTTTGCCTTTGGAGTTTTGTTGTTTGCTTGTTCACTCCGTTCACCCAATTCTGGTCTGTTTTGTCCAGCTCTTATCTGGTCCTAGTCTGCTCACTGACTCATCGTTTTGGTTTGTTTGTTTGTTCACTTTGTTTCATGTTATGATCATATTTTTGAATTCCTGTTCAGACATTGGTTGATTCACTTTTGTTTATTGTGTTGTACTTTTGTCTCTGTTTGATTTTTTAACCTGGCCTGTCCCCTTATTTTTTATTAAAACTTCTATTGCTGCACTTGGATATCTTTTGTATTTTTGTGAGCCCATCGTGACAGGATATAATAAGGATATATATATATATATATATATATATATATATATTATATATATATATATATATATATATATATATATATATAATATAA